TTCCCTACATTTTCATCACCATATTCATAAATGTTTAGTTTTATGCTTTCATCCACAATTCTCTAAGTTTTAAATTATTGATTTTTGGTGACACTCGTTCATCTTTAAATAATGTTCATTTTCCCCTTTTTGGAGTTTCAAGTATTGCCTTTTAAAATAGACCCTTGACTTCCTTCATGAGAATAAAAGTAAAATAGAGAAAAAAAGTAAAATAGAATACTTTTGGAACTCCCATGCTCAAGCTCAAAAATAAATAGTGATAAATTGAAAGTGTAAAATTAATTTTTATTCTAAAATTTAATTTAATTTTGAAAATAATTAATATTTTAAATATAAAAACTTACATGTTAATAAAATTAATAGTTCTTTAAATGTTGAGACGATTTATTTTAATAGTAAAAGTTGAGTGTTTAAAAAAAGATTAAAAAAAGTATTACATAAATTTAAAGGACTAAAATAAAGAAAATTCTTTTTGAAAAACTAAAATTAAATATAGTCAATTTTTAGAGAACCAGAAATATATTTAACTTAATTTTTATAAAAGTATATTAATAATTTATTCATAATTTATCAATTTTTTTTAATATTCTTAAAAGCACATTTTATTGTAGTGATAGAAATAAATTTTACGATTTTTTCTTGCCAAGTTTTTAAACCAAATTAACGACAAGAGAAACAATATATATATATATATATATATATTCTGTATAATATTTAGAATTGTGATATAGATTTTAAAATTACATATAAAATTAAGGGTACGTTTGTTTGAACATTAAAAAAGAGTGTTTTCGAATAAGTATTTTTTAAAACTAAGTTTAGAAAAAGACGTTAGAAAGAGTAAAAGAGTATTTATTTGATTAAAATACAGTACTTTTAGAAAAATAAAGTTTGAATAATCGTTAATAAAACAAAATTTAAACAAACTTACTCTAAACTAATTAATTTAACCTGGCCCGAAGGAGCAGCTGGTTAATAAAACTTGAACCCATATACAAAGAGTGCAAAATTGGTTACTTAGTTCACGTATGGGATGGGCCTGCATGCTTCTGGCGCTACAAAACCATTACACCCTAATTTTTACTTTAACAATATATTGTCAATTTTGATCATAGTAAAATCATTACGAGCAAAAAGAAAAACCTTTTTTTTTTCTTTTTTTTTTTTACGTGTTGTTAGTCAAATACGGAGAACGTGGAATTTGGCCATCGATAATTTAAATTATAAGGGAAAATTGAGACGGAATAATTTATAACTAAATATTTTAAAATATTCATATAATGAAATTTTAAATCTAAAAGTGTCTATTTCCAGTCTCGTTTGAATATTCTTTTTTATTTTTTTTTAAATATGAACAAATATAATTTTTATCTTTTATATTTCTTATTATTGTTTTCATTAATTTTAAAAAATTTTAAAATGATTTTCAACAATTCTTAGTAATGATGAGACATATTAAAATATGTCATATCAATAACTTTTCTAAAATTTTGTTTAGTTAAGCACTAAAACTAAAAAAATTTAATGTATAAAACCAATTTTATTTTATATTTATATTTATAAAAATTAAACCCCCCCACACACACAAACACACACACACACACACACATATATATATATAT